GGGCTCTGCCAGAGCAGCCCCGGGCACGGCCCAGGAGCTCAGTGCCCCAGCAGGAGCCTCCTCCCGGGTTCTCCTGCGGGTTCCAGTTCCAGCCAGGGGGTTCCCGTCCTCGTGCTGCAGTGGGGGCAGGTCCTGGTTCTCCACGGCAGGCTCCAGCCCTGGGCGTTCCCTGCCCAGAGGCTCCTGGTGCCTTGGGGAGCTCGGGGTGGGAAGCTCCAGACGAGGCCCCTCCAGGATTCACCGTCTGCTGCTGGACCTCGGCGTGGCCTGAGCGGCGTCGGCGCCCCGGCCGCGGAACCCCGAGGCTGTGACCTCCTCCAGGAAGCTGCTGGGCAGAGTTTGGGGTTACCAGAGACCAGGGGCTGACTTCTCACTCACTCAGGGAAAAAACCAACCCCACAGCCTGGCCTTCAGCCTTCCAACCAAGGCAGCAGAGTGCTCTCCAGCCTGGGAGCTGTCAGGACATCTCTCTGCTCCTCTGGTGCCACCAGGATGGGGGACACGTGGTGAGAGTGGCAAAGAGGAGAAGGTGTCCCCCCAAAATGTCCCCCCACAACCAACCCCCACGCCAACAGACAGCCCCATTTTTCAGCAACACATCCTCCACCCGTTCACAATGCAAAGCCCAAAGCTTTGGGGCTCTGATGACCCAACCTGGGCACCCAAATCTGGAGCCCCAAAACGTGAGGCTTGGATCATCAGGTCAACAAACACGGCCACCCATCTCCAAATTCTCAGCCCCATCCTGGGAGGTCTCTGGTCTCCCAGAGCCATGGACTTCAAGGCTTCCAGGAGGAGGGCAGCAGCTCCTGCTGGCCTGGCATCAGATGGTGCTGCCAGCCCTGCTCAGCCCCCAGGACAATGCCAGGAAGGGCAGCTCAGCCTCCTTCTCCTGTCTGGGTGATGAGGCAGGAAGAGGCAGGGTGGAAACCTCCTGCTGAGGCATCCTTGATGTCTCACAACCAACCCTCCCAGCAGCCCGGGTCACCCACGGGCCACAGGTCCCAGCTCCTCAGCCTCAGCCCAGGGCTCAGAGCCAGGGCAGGCGGGGGGCGGCCCCCGCCCCCGGCCGGCCAGCCTCTGCAGGCCACAGAGCTCAGGAACCAGCCACACGGAGGCCTCTGGGCAACAACCACCCAGGCCACTGGACCTGGAGGAAGATTTCACTCACTGAAACACTTCCAGCACAAACCCAGCTCCCTCCTCTCTTTGATTCCCCAAGGCAGCCCGAGGGATTTTGAGGGCAGGACCTGGAGGAACTCGTGGCCAAGTTGACCCCACAAAGTCAAGTGAATGCCAGAGTCGAGAGGGCTGAGCTCTGTGTCCTGCCCCAACTCAGATCCTGAGATCCTGAAAGGGGAATCTGCAAGATCCCAGCCCAAATCTGTCTCTAGGAGCAGAGGTAGGCTGGGCATTGGGTCATCTGGGAGGTCTCATGCTTGTGGGGCACCTTGAGCCTGGTGTGGACACGGCTGAGGGCTGTGGAGGCAGCTCTGTCAGCAAAGAACTCCTGCTGTGGGCAGCCCTGGGGGTGCAGAGAGGACTGACAGACTCATTGCATGGGTTTGGTTGGAAGGGACCTTTAACCTCATCTCCTCCAACCAC